AATGTGATTTTTCAAGAGGACAAAAGCAGGAACTATACATCCACCTTCGATCGCCAGTTCTCCATCATCATCTCAGCTGGATCCGTATGCAAATCCGTTGTATCTTCATGCCGGAGACTCATCGAGCTTAACTCTAGCTACAGAGAAGCTAATCGGTGAGGGAAACTACAATTTGTGGTCTCGATCGATCATCAAGGCACTGAGCCCGAAGAACAAGCTTGGATTAATAGTGTGTAGACGGAATGTGCAAAGACAGGAAGTAACAAAGTATGAAAGGCTTGACCTAAATAAAAGATTCGGCATGCATGTCGACGTTGCTTGTCCAACTTCTTCTATCATTATCGATCATCCACTTCTCCTGTCGTAGGGTTGACCCCCAAAGACACATACATACCTTTGACTCTCATACCGTTTTTTATGATATATGTATATATGTATGTACGTATATGTATTGTTGGTGAGAGGATTGTATTTAATTCATTCTTTGTATTATCATTTTGCTTAAATTAATCATCTATAATATTACTGAAAAAGGAAATCAACAAAAGGCTCGAAGTCTTGATTCGTAAGAAGAACACAGACACACAAACTCGAAACACGACGCAAGAACATGAAAGATCAAATCAAACATGTCGTTGACCTCCATCCACAAAGCTCTCAAAAAGTCAACGGCAACAATTCCATACAAACACCTGTAGACTCTTTATCAGTTAGCCGCATTTCCTTCCCTGTTTCTATTTTTGGATGCCCAAAAGACTAGGGTTTTAAGTGACACTGCTACACCTATACAGTGAACAGAAGGAGATCAAAGAATAAGATTTTCTCCTCAGAGTTTAAGCAGATCGCCTCCTCTAACTTATGAGTCAGTATTCTTCCCCTCTGCTCTCTTCTGGTAAACCACCTCTAAGCATTCCTTGGCCCTGTGAACCTTTGACTGCAGATAAAAGCTCCCGTTTTGTGCGTTCCTTTCGAATAAGTTGTCATATTTCTGCAAAATCGCAGTGACCCACGGTATGATTTATGCTTTCCGAATTCCGATAACCATAGAGAAACGAATACCATATATACACACACCTTTACAACTTCCTCCCACGATGAATTCTCTGTGACACCAAGAACCTGTCTGGCCTCTGGTTCAGCCATAACTTTGCTTCCTCTCTTAATATTCTGGACTGCTTCATGCGCAACACCGGATTTTGATGCATCTGCAACCAATCATTAAGTAACACTAACATATGAGTAAATTGCCAAATGCCCTACCCCTGGAAACATAACAGTAAACCAGTAGACAAATTTCTGGAACTTTCGAACATTATAATGATGGTTACAGGGCATACTTGTAAGTGCCTGACGATATGCCTGAACAAAAGCTCTGGCTACTATTCCGGAACCCATGATAATCAAGTTTGCAAGAATTTTAGCGGCCTGCACAAAACACAAAACCCAATCATGGGAAAGTTTCCCTAGCATGAGTGAATGATCATTTGGGTACCAGATAAGATTACTTAGCCTCGCCAAAATATTCAAACAAAAACCTCTAATTTAATTTCCATTAGGACAGTAGGAAATCTAGAAACCGAAATAGAGGAGTAAACCACTATGGTTACGGCTGCTCGATTGTAAAAGGTTGCACACCATGAATTCTCAAGCAACAATAGTAACGGGAACGAACTAAATTCCCCAAGTATTCTCCTCTGTTGCCTATACTATACTCTACAATGACATCAAAAAAGGAATTCCATTTTGACCTAAACTCCATCCTTATCTTGAAACTGCGGCGAATCGTAGAAATTCACATCAAATTTTCTAGTGCCCCCGTCATATCCTCTAACATCAAAATCATTAGAATCTTCTAATAAATTTACGACATCCCGTGTCTGTGTGTATTGAAACAAAAGAACGTGAGATTTCGAATTGCATAGACAGAAGGTCCAGGAAAACACCTACCATCTCCAGTAATTTCTAAACCGATGATCGGAAACTAGAGAAAAAAAAAGTTGCGGCTTGTTCCAAATCTTCAGACAACCTGGAATATTATGCAAGGTATAAGACATAACTCGCCAGGGAATGGAAACACTTCCAAAATCGGGGAAAAAACAACATATACGGGTCGAACGAGTCGACATAAACCCTTGAAGAGAACAAAATCGACAGCAATAAGAACGAAGGTGATAGAATTGACAAGTTACCAGGAGGTGAGGAAGAATCGGCCTGGAGAGAATGAATTGAGTCGAAATCGAAAATTGGGGTTTGTCGGGGAGGAGAGCGGGATACACGAAATCAGCCCTAACCGACGTCTTAAGATATGGGCCGTATCGTTGGAATTGGCCCAATACTTATCAAAACGCATTTTATTGGCCCATATATATATATATTCGAAAAAAATAGGGGCAATTTGCATAATATTATGAAATAGGAGAGGTAATTTGGTAAATGTATTAATGAGAAAAATGGTATCAAGAGCCTCTGTAATTTCTAGTTTTCATCTTTGATTTTTCTTTGGAGTATCGTTTCCGATGTCGAATCCGGCGGATTCTTCAACAGGAACTGTACATCCACCTTCGATCGCAAGTTCTTCATCATCATCTCAGCTGGATCCGTATGCAAATCCGTTGTATCTTTATGTCGGAGACTCATCGAACTTAATTCTAGCTACAGAGAAGCTAATCGGTGAGGGAAACTACAATTTGTGGTCTCGATCGATCATCAAGGCACTGAGCCCGAAGAACAAGCTTGGATTTGTATATGGAACCATTCCTCGACCTGATGAAGCACATCCTGACTTTGGAGCATGGACGCGTTGCAATGATTTGGTATGTTCCTGGTTGAACAACTCTGTTGCTACTGATATTAAGCACTTGACGATGTACATAGACATAGCAAGTGATATCTGGAAACATTTAGAAAGGACTTACAAACAGACGAATGTTTCGAAAGTTTATTCAATTCAGCATCAATTAGATTCGTTATATCAAGGAGCTATGGATCTGAATGGATATTATCATAAGTTGACTATTCTTTGAGAAGAATTGAAGAATTTTGATTCGATGCCTAGCTGTACTTGTGGTAGATGCAACTGTGATGCAGATGTCAAATGGCATAAGTTCTATGAAAGACGAAAATGTAGTGAAGTTTTTGATGAGGTTGAATGAGTCATATATTGCTGCTAGAAGACAGATTTTGATGATAGAGCCACTTCCAGATTTGACTCGCACATATAATATGATTGTTCAAGAAGAACAACAGAGATTGAATTACAATCAGCCGATGGATTCACTAGCTTTCCAATCCTCTACACCTTATCAAGCTTCACATCAGAAGCCAAGGAATCAATATTAGTCCTCTTCTCAACTGTCAACGTTTCAGAATTCAAATAAGTCAAGGTTTCATTGCACACATTGTGGGATGAACAATCATACTGTGGATAAGTGCTACAAGATTCATGGTTATCCTCAAAAAAACCAATTAGACTAACGCTAAAGACATAGTCTTCTATTAATATATTAAATTATCTATGATTTTTATCCATCTGTACTCATAATATCTGAAAATTCGATTTCGAATACTTTGGACTAGAATTCGGATCGAGTATCTATCTATATATATATATATATATACCATTTTTATAAATATATCATTTTTATAGATAGTTTACAAATATATTATTTTTATAAAAAAATACATAATTTATCATAGTATTAAAAAAAATTATAAACTATCTCTCCTACTTAATGAAACATTAAAAATTACGAAATTGTTTTTATTTTGAATATTTGGATTCAAACCCAAATATTCAAAATCCATATATAAAAGATCGAATTCCAGATACCGATATTTAAAAATAACTTAAATAACCCAAAGTTTTTCAAATAACCTAAGCTACTAAACCTGTTTTTTCTTTTGTGTGTGTGCATTTTTATATTTCATATTTAAAATACTATAAAATCTAACAATAAATTCAGATTCTTACAATACATAGACCACGATGTGCATGGATTTAAGTCGCGACCCAACTCAAACAACCCAATAAACAGAGCCTAGAACCGCGAGCGTTCACCGTCGCGGCCAGACGCGGAGCTACAAACGCTACCGCCAAACGCGGCAGCGGCGGGGGCGGCGCTGTTGTTGTTGTTGTTGTTGCGTTCTGCGTGGCAGAGCTGTCGGAGCTTGGTGGGGACGTACCAGATGGAGAGACGAGGGTGGGCGTTGAAGACGGCGTCGATGTCCCAGTCGTGGCGTCCAGCGATCGCGATTAGCGGTTTGTAACACGCCTGACGCCAAGCTCCGACGTTTTCGCCGCGTTCTTTAAACGCGCGTCGGAGGGCGTTTGAGGCTTCCTCGTCCAGGCAGTGGAGGGCGTAGCAGTGGACGTAGTGACGCATCTTTGGCTTGTTTATGTAACTCGCCCCCGACTTCTTTGCGTATCTGAACACTTGGTTAGTCACCTACGTTTCACCAAAAAAAAAAAAAAAAAAAAACACAATAACATGACTACTTATAAAATCTCAATTACTTAGAGAACCGCCAAAAAAAAGGGCAAATGATTTAATTTGTAACCAAACATATTTCAAATTGTTGCTGCATTCCATAACCAATAATGATATATATTTTTATTAATCGTGAATCTGAACAAGCAACGGCACAGAGCTAATGGAGTCTGTACTATCCTCACTAAAGGAAATAAAACCCCTTGTTACCCACTGTACAATAGCCTGTCTCCATATACATATATATATATATATATTATAACGTGTGTGTGTATATATATACATACGTACATATGTATGTGTGTGTGTGAATGCGTGTATAGAAGATGAAAAAGATGCAGACACGTGCATATGTATGTGTATCTAATGTCAGTATCATCCTCTATCTATCTATCTCCCCAACTCGACACGTCATCGTACTATGACTGTCCGAAAGTTAAATTGATTAAATCAATCTATACTTACTTCCTAGACAGAGAGAGCAGGCGAATAACAACCAGGGCCTACCTATGACAAATTAAATAAATGAATAAGGCAATTGACAAAAATATAATTTAAGATTTCCCCCTCCCCTCCCTGGTGTTGTAACTTGTCAAGCCTTATTTACAACAGCTGTCCATATTTCAATGGATTTTTTTTTTATAATAAATGTCGGATTGCTAATTTTCATATGAGTCTAACATTTGTTTGGATAATTCAATGATACAAATACGGACCTTGGAAGGGCATTTTTCGCCGCGGTCCTTGGCGAGAGACTGGACCTGGAGGAGGAACTCACGGCATTGCTCGTACAAGTGGAAGAGGTAATCCAGACCGTTCTTTTTGCCACGTGCCACTTCCCCAGGCTCCGTCACGATGAACGGATGCTCTCTCTGTCTCTCCGCCGCCACGTCATCATCCACGTCATCTCCTCCGGCCTCCTCCTCCGCCTTCTTCCTCCGCCTCTGCTGCTTCTTCCTCCCCGCTTCTCCTTCCGCTTCCTTCTCCTGCTGCACCGGCTCTTCTGATAACCCTGCCCATTTAATCATATCTCCATCAGCATCCCTACAAGTTTTTTCCATGTATACACTATATATATGTACATATATACACCTTCCTGGGAGAGTGCATCATGGGCGTGAGTGCTGGAGTCTCCGGCGGCGGCCGCCGCAGAGGAGGAGAGGAGAAAGTGTCGACGCCTGGAGGAATCTTCGTCCTCCTGCAAGCGCCGCCGCTCGGCCCTGACGGCGGATTTGATGCCGTAACGCTCTCCGACGAGAAGCTCCCACCGGAAAATCTGGGAGAGGCTGTTCATCATGTCATCGAGCTCCTCCTCCTTCATCCCAACGAGGGTGCTTGCTGTAAACCCTAGCTCCGCTATCTTCGCCGCCGTGTAGTACCTTATCCCGTACGCCCCCAGCAAGCCCTCCAGACCACCCAGCCTCAGCCCGAACGCCGACACCTCCGCCGCTGTCGCCGGAGGAGGTTGAGGCGTTGTCCTCGACGCGTCCCACCGGAACAAACTCGCCGTGAAACCTTCTGGATCCATCTCTCTCTCTCTCTCTCTCTCTCTCTCTCTCTCACTCTCAGCAGTGGAGCAAAACCTCTGTGTAAATATAACAGTCTGGAAACTGTATAAAAATACTAGGTTTGCCCTTTATATAATATAATTTTGTGTTTTCTTATATAAATTTTACGATAGAACGTATATACGTACGTGTTTGTGTGTGTGTATGCGCGAGTGAGAAATGTTTGCTTTGTCTGGATTTGAGGGAGGTCGGCGGAAAATGACAGTTGGCACTGGACAAGTCAAACTTGTTTGCACGACATTCTTCAACCTTGTCGTATTTCAGCCACTCATATCTTGACACGTAGGCGAAATTGAATGATTTTGGTCATGCTCTCATCTAGATTGAATTTCCCCCAAATATATGGTCCCATGAAACGAGTTTAGATTTTTGTAATTTTGAATTTGATGTATAGTATATTTTGGTAAATATGGAATGTAACATTATTAAGATTACTTTAACCATTGATGCCATTAGGCCCCCAAAGCATCTCCCCATGCAACAATACAAAAAAAAAAAAGTCTCGTCTTTAAGAGATTTTATTAGACACTTTTCATAATTTAAGATTGGAGCTAACTAAACTTAATAGCTATTCAATAGCGATCTGTTGCAAACGCAATTGCATTGTTTTTTGTTTTTTTTTAAAGACAATTGCATTGTTTTTAAACTCAATAGAGAATCTAGTCTAGTCTGTTTTATGACACATAGCCAATGAGAAAGCGACAGGTCATATCGCTGTCCTAAGAATCTGCCATCCTATTGGCCTGCCCTCTCTGATTCATGTCACGCGTTCTCTCTCTTACTTTTTTTATGATCCTTTTTCATATTAGTGTTTTTTAAAATTATTTACTATTAATTTTTGTATTACTGTAATCCATTGTTTTTGAAGTAATTGATTAATGGGTTAATATTATCGAATGTGTTATTATTATTACAGTGATTATAATTTATTATCATCAGTAAAACCGGAGGTGAGCCTGAGGAAGCAGAGGATGCGATGCCGGCTCAAGCAGGGGATGCGAGTGTTGAAGGGGTTGGGTCGTAAGTTGCTGAACTGGACAGCTGGAGCGGCCGGTGACCTTGGTAGAAATGATTCATGAGAAAGTGTACAAATGGGGGAGCAAGGAGGAGTCCTTAAAGCTTTTAGACATTTTGTATGGTTGGGGTTGGTAGAGTTTGTATCAGACGCTTTCTGTTAACTAGACAAAAAAAAAAAAAAAAAAAAAAAA